TCACAATCATTCACAATCCCGGTTTCAAAATAAGTCGTGATTATCCAATTATCACTCGAATTCGGAACTACCGTAAGTTTCTAATGGCCACCTTCTTAGACATTCTTCTTTATGCTGAGCATATGACCCAAAAATAAATCTAGAAGTGGAGAAAATAATTTTGTGCTTCCGTACGGTCCTTTTTAATTTTTCAAATTATCTTGCAAAAATTAACGTATCGATATACCAATCCGAGAGCTCACTCTGGTTATACGAATTCCTCGGTTACTTTGCGTAAATTAACAGAGGCATTTATTTAGCACAGCTTTCGACCCAAGGACTTTTTTGGGGGGTTTACCACTTTTGGGAAGTACCAGTGTTCACATCCGCGCAGTACTACTTCCGGGTTTTACGTCTTGTGCAGAGCCTTTCCTGGTTTCAGGGCTTCAACTCAATTTGAAAATGAGCCCCTAACTTTTTTTAATTATGCACTAACCGTCTTTTCCTCATAGGTAACCTGCAATGCTCCGTTTTTCAATCAATTATTCTTCCGATCTGTCCGTCGATCGAGTTTAGTTTGATTTATTCACATATGAATTTACATCCAACGACTAGCGTCCTTCCTTTTTCTGGGGCCACTTCAGCGTACCACCTGGCAAATGCCCAACGTAACAGTAATGGTGCACGTGCCACCAGTTGAAAATCATTTTTATATAACTCTTACTGCTCATATTTTGTTCTCGAAGAAATAGTTCCCTATGGCCCATGCACGTGCTCTAAAACTCCCTAAAATACACACACTTGTTTAAATCAGGTCAGATAGATTATTTTGTTATCTAAAATGCCCGGATTTGTATCCTTTCGCCGCAAAGCTGCAGTACATTTTCACACTGGTGACTTGCATCAAATTGCATTTTTTGGGGAACCTCATCTTGTATTTAAAAAACGAAAGAAAATTTTCCATCTCATTAAAAGTTCCACCGAGCTTCCCTCCTAGTTAACGTTAGTGAGCCTCTTCAACCCAAGTCTTCGTGAAGGAATCAAACGGAAACTTACACACATCTGCTGGATCCACGGCGAAATTACAAGGGAATGCACCTGGGATTTCGTTTTTAGAGAAGTGGTAAATGGAAGGCGTGGGGGGAAGCGGGGAAACTCGCAGAGGAATGGATTTTATCGTTATTTTTTCGGTGCTATTTATTTTTTAGGCGAGTAAGAGGGGAAGTCGAGGGGCGATGGTAGATGCTTTATCCGGGCGTCACAGTCCGCGGAGCCGGGCTTCAAGGTCCGACGATCACGTCGTCCTCCGGAGCCCGGGTGTATTGAACTTGCGTCGTTCCGCTGCTCTTCTTCCCGTGCATCATCCACATGAGGGCGGCGACGCTGAGCACTATGATGAGGATCCCAGTGAGGATGACGGCTATGGTGGCGCCGCTGGCGTTCGTCTCCTTCTCGGCGCCACTGGCGGCGCTGGCTCCCGACGCCCCGGGCTTCCGGCCCTTGCAAACGAACTGCTCTGGGTCCAGGGCTACGACGACGAGCTCGTGACCGTGCAGATGGTCCGGCTTGTCGCACCTGGAACCATGCAAGCGATTCTCCATTTTACAAGCGCCTAACGCGATGAGAGGTTCCGCGGCCGATGAAAAAAATTGCAAGATGTTCAAACTCGAGAAGCGCTTCAATATTTACCCGGAAAACTGATGCGATTTATCGTTTAATGGACTTGAACCATTCCACTGATGAGTCCATTATCCGGAAAGTATACTGCATTAATTTTGAAGCCATGCCAAATTGGATAAACGCCTATTTTTTGCACATCAAAATCGCGTTCCATGCAGCATACAGTATAATTTATGGAAAGGTTCATTATCCAAATAAAAAAGAAGCAACAATCGCGTAGATAGTCAAATTACGTAAGAAGTTCATTTTATGGAAACCACTGCATTGCCAAATTCTACACTAGGCTTTCGTAGGGGGAGAAACAGCGAATGTATTTCGAAATCAGCTGATGGTATACTACAGAAAGTCTGCCTACGCGCGATTTTTTTTATATGCCCAAGGTAAAATCGTCCTGAATTGAAAAGAGTCAATCAGGACTTTCGCTTGCAGCATTACTGTGTGCATTGATATTTTCGTTATCCTGCATTTTTGGCATAGTCTTCTGGGCGCGAAAAAAAGGGGATAATTTTCCATGCAGATTTTGAGACTTGTACGTACCTCAACAGTTACGATTACCATGAAAACTTGGGATCAACTGTGTTCCTCAGAAAATCAGGCCTTTCCAGCAAAACAAAAAAACTGGACCACATTTTTCAGACAGCTTTGCAAAAATATGCGTGGCAGTCTGGTCCGAAATGGGCCACAGAAGTTAAGAGCAATAAGATGCTTCTAAAGATGTTGTGTGAATTAAAATGTAACTAAAAAATATTGGAGGGATGCACAATGTTATAGAAAATCATGCATTGTATTATAACTTCACGAAATATACAAGGATCAGTTTCTCTTCAGGATTGAAGCATCGAAGTAAATTCTTATCTAAAAACTTTTCCATATTTCAAGATTGATGCAGAGGAAATTCAGAGTACTCCTCTCGTCAAAATAAGAACAATGAGGCAGTTCGTCGAATTATTTAATTTTTTCAGAAATACTTCGTTTACTGCAACAGGGGAATTCAAAGTTCGAATGATTCTCGAACGTCCGTTTTGCGAGTAAGATAATCCAAGTGGTCTTTCAAATTTATATGAAATCGGTGAGCTGACGTGTGGAAAACTATATATTGCGGGATTCGACGTTCTGAAAAAAAAAATTGACCACGAAATGCAGTTTATACATAATTTTTTTTAAAGCCACCTTTTTATAGAACTGTAAACTGTGCGTTTTTTTCAAGCTTTAGGAAGCAGATTTTTAATGTTGATGCTTTAAAATTATAAGCCCTGAATTTCTTCCAATTCAGGAAGAATTTGAGTGACCGTCGACCTGGAAAAATTTTGCATTAGATCCACATTGATGCATTCGTTAAGCCTGTCAATCGCTGTTGTTTTTAAAATCCGATTTTGTTTCCTGTTATCGTTTAAGCACGAAAGAAACAGAATAAGAATATTCTCATGTTCGTACTACTGTAGTAGTTAACGGTATATACTGAATTACCAGTCAAGAAACACTCAAACTATAAAAAATAAAATCCCCTAAAGACGTCTCCTTTCTTACAGCTTAAAAGAAGGTCGATGAAATAAGCGCTGCTAAGCGTCTAAGAATGTTCATCGTCTCCAGTTGGTCTGCGAATACTAATAATAATAGCTAGAAATAATTCTAAAAACGTTAGTTCAGGGCTGGTCTCGAACGTAATCGTCGAGTCACACTCGCGAGCGACGGCAAATAACGGACTCGTTGTTCGGATGCATGGCTCATATAGCGGTTTCTTTGGTGCGCTCCACCGAAGCAATGACGTTGCATCAACTGAAATGACAGAAGGCAGGACGGGAGCCAAGTACTGTATTTGTATTCAAACCGTTTAAGTTCAGTGCCTGGAGCATGCATTTCGGGTTCGTGTCCGTTCGATGCTTTCAAGTGATACAACGGCTCTGAATATTTCCATTGGTGGGGCGAATATACCACTACCAGCATCCATTGCTCAACAATTCAACACAGAAAACAAGTTCATGCCTACTAAAGCAGGGCATAAGTTCGCATTGAGATTCAATGTCATACAACAAGGATTCACATGGGTTTATACTGCACAAGAGTACGTAAGTGTTGTCTGTCGTGGGGTTCCCTGGTTGGACGGATGGAGATGCACGAACCACATTTATTCGGATAAATCAGACATAATCGATTATAAAAATTACCTAGCCTTTTTTTGTCACTCGAAATTTAAAGCACGTTTCCCTGGGAATATATGACTCAGATTCTCTGCATTCAACTCCATTGCTTCTATTCCTGCTTCAGATACCGGTTAAAAGTCAATATATTACTTTCGATCCAACTTTTGCGTCTTTAGACAAAAAATTATTCAAAATTTTTCTCAATCGCATTTCATAAATAATTTGTATTCAAGCCTTGTGTCACACTGGGAATTAATTGAGCACTCTTCGCCTCAAGATAAAATCGATTGCAGGACGCAAGTAAGTATAAGAAGCCTTCTGATCTCCTTGGACTAATGTTCTGTGAAAAAGGGTGTTCTATATTTGAGCAAGTGCAGTTGATTATGAAGAAATACTTGATTCATAAATAACTCTCTATATGTTCCAGTTTCCTCTCACCTGTGTTGAAAAGGAGAGGAGTCAGTGAGCTGAATGTTCTTTCTGACTTAGATGTGTTCCATCACACGTGATGAAATGGAGCTTGATCGTCATTTTCATATGAATTCGAAGATGCTGAACACGACAGTTTCTTCAAAATGCCATTGAGTAAAGGCTTGCCTGCAGTGCTAATTACAAACTGCATTACAGTAGTTTGGATGAGTATGGCCCTGCACATGGGTACCCGAATGATTTCGTTACAACAGAGACCCTTTGGATCTATCCAGCGTATCAACCAATACCCTTCAGAAACTTTTCGTAGTGCGAAGTGTGAATACTTGATCCCTTCCGTATTCCATCGCTACAAAACAGTCAACGTCAATCGTATCGAAACGAGAATATTTCGAGTCAACAGCATTTCAAGTGAAACGATAGGCTAACAATACTGATTCCCTGCATCCGTGAACAATAAATATATTGTTTCAATGATTCTTGCTCGACTTTTGATCGATGTAGCGAAGAATCCCGAAAAGTTTACTACTGCTGCGGGAAGGTAGGAAAATAATATATTCAGGGTTCCGGGAGGTAATGCGGCCGCCGAGCTAAAAACCACCCCCAAAATTTCGTCAGATTTTTCCAATTCTCAGCCGGATTCCAGGGGAAGTGCTTCAAGAACTTACAATAGTGCTGACAGTTACTAATGAAAGCGAACTTACGTAATATATTGAGTCAGAGAAGGATTCATGCGCTCCAAGTCGTCCATGAGCGAAATTGCGACCCATTTCATCTCGCAATCGCAAACCCAGGGATTGCCTTGAATGTCCAAGAGGTCCAGCTTCTCCCAGGGCAACAACCCGGATTAGAAGGATTCATGCGCTCCAAGTCGTCCATGAGCGAAATTGCGACCCATTTCATCTCGCAATCGCAAACCCAGGGATTGCCTTGAATGTCCAAGAGGTCCAGCTTCTCCCAGGGCAACAACCCGGATGGCAGCTTTTTCAAACTATTCTCATTCAGTAGAATCTAGAAAGAAAAAGACAGAGACGATATATTTGCTGTAGTGTACTCTAAAGATTCTAAACCATTCATAATGCCATTCCCTATACATGCGTAACAAATACGCAACCGTTTAAACGTATAATTTGGTTAAATTGCGGAATAAAGAAATACGCAATCAAATTTGTTTGTCAAATAACAATGAAGGAAACAGACATGATTTGCTAATTTCATGTAGTTTTTCGTATGTTTTATCTAACGAAGAGGCGTGTGAATCGAGGCAGTTGACGTAGACTTGTGTATACATTTGTAACTCAATATATTTTCTGCTTAGGTTTCCTGGAGTCTCAAAACCTCGAGCAATTTTTTTTTAATTTGAAAGTAAAATTGGCAGTATCAGAGCACCATTCATCATAGCAACTTTTTCGTGCATTTCTAGCTTGGAATTACATGTTGATTCAGTTCAGATAAATGATCGAGGATTAGCATTCGGTGAATTTTCAACTGGAATCAGAGGTGTGCCTCCAATTCCATGTTTTTCTCAGGGTAATTTTTCTTCAGCGCTGGTCAAAGTTTTTTTTTTCAATTCTCTGGCGCTGCTTCATTCGACAATAGCCATCAATTTGCAGTCATGTATACACGGTTATCCAATATTGCATGGCACACGCATTGTACACACAGTATTGTATCTGCCTTTGATAATCCCTCAAAACATTGAGAATAATTTACTACGCAGTCTGGTAAATCTGTCGAAGCTCTCAGCCGAAACAAATTATGTGTACCTCTTTCAACATTTCTACGAGTTTATCCAAAAGCTGAATCACATGCAATTCGCTTGATACCAACGGGTTAGGTACACTCTGAGAGCACGATTTATCCTGTAATTTTTGAAGAAAATTTTGCGTGTCATGCTATTCCAGCTGAGGACTGATCAGTCTGCATTCTAGCAAGTAACCTCCTGATAAATATAAATTATTCCTCTGACGTCATCGTTCTTCGGGCGGGAATTTTTCTTCAGCCCGGGGACGGAAGTTTCTCAAACCTTCCTCAGGCGCATAATTGAACTTGCAATCAATGTAATCAGTCAAATGATATTGCATGAAACAGGCATTATTCCCGGGGATTTTTTTTTTCCTCTCCTTAAACACACCGTATCCGGTTTCGACGTGAATGATATCGGAAAAGTTCGGGTACGAGATGCTCCCAACCCCCTCCCGGGTCCCGCGTTGCGGTGCCAGCGTGGGAAGCGCGGGGCAATAATCGCCTAATTTCCTGTCCCGGGAGTCCCCTCCGCATTACCACGTCATCCGCGCGGAGGAAGTTGTTCGTCTTCGCCCGCACGCGAAATGCCGAGTACCGCGGCAAGTGTGTAATTAGCGGGACCCACATGAAAACCGGAGCGAATTTTCTTCCCTGCTCGGGTGGACGCGTCCCTTTATTGTTCCACGCAGCCGTGGAGAATGTATTCGAACCTCGTTGAGTCGCGAATGAACGGCACAGGGAAACTCCATCCGTTGGCCCCTAATTCGCTTCGTCGGCAAGGGTTTGGGCTGATTCGGGAAGGAAACTTCGTCCCATGTAATCATGTTTACGAAGCTCGAGCAAGACCAAAAATAAATAAAAAATGATGTCAAGTACATACCCAGTACCTTCTTCCCAACGAAGAGAATGCCATCCGAGGGAACAACGGAATGCACCCGAAGGAAGTTTACTTTCTTATCGTTTTAATTAATCGCGCACTAAAGAGCGTTGCATGAGAGTCGTATAAAGCAGTGTTCCCCAACCGGTGGTCCGCGGACCGGCGCTGGTGCGCAGAAGTTTTTTGCCGGTCCGCGGGCACTTATCAGTTTACGAAAGTTATCAAAGGTATCAATGAGGTCTGTTATCTTTATCTGAAATTTTGAAAAGACCCTGGTAGCTGAAATTATCTGATGAAGAAGTTGGCTTTTTTTCCTAATTACACTTCAGACATATTTTTACCGGCACAAATACATTATTTTAATTTTTCATCATGAAAAACCATTTTTCAAACCTACCTTTCTAATTTTCTAATGTCATTCAGCTATAGCTGCTTACCTTTATTTTTGCAAAAAACAGAAAATTTCAAATGCCTGTCTTTCAAGCAAAACTTTTTTGAATCTGAAAAACTCCATAAAACTTTGCCAGTCCACCAACATTTTTTTGGGAATTCGCCGGTCCCCTAAAAATTTTATGGAAATTTGCCGGTCCGCAGGCCCAAAAAGATCGGGGTACACTGGTGTAAAGTATTTTAAAGCGTAAAACGTGGAATAGCTTCTTTTTGGTAACTGTGAACAAATTAATAATATCGGGAATTATTCCGGAAAACATGCAAGTACAGTATACTGCACCTCTACAAAAGACATGGTAAAGACTGACGGTTGAATCTTACCTTCTTCTCTTTTTACCCATTGCGAATGAAAGTCATGCGATAGCTGAGTCGCTTTTAACAATGTTGGAATGCGCAAAAAAGGGGAAAAACCTTAGAGGATACATGCTTTGATTTCATTGCGATGATATACCTACATGTATCATAAAGAAGTCTATCGTAATTTGATCCAACGAGAATTCAGTCACAAGAACAATAAAAATTCCCTTGCTGCCAGCGGAACACGTGACATTGTGTCATGTGTCCTATACCTTCGTATAAAAATACTGGATGAGTAAATATTTTTTGAATTCAAATGCATGGAATAACTATCTTTGCTTTGCATCACTATTTCCACTTTACAATTCAATTACGCCACCGGGTTTTCGCGTGTTCCTAAAATAACGTCAGCCCATGAGCCAGAAATTTTATAAATATTTTTAAATCTGCGGATGGTGCATTAATGTCTTTCGACACAAGTCGTTAGAGCTAAACAGATTCTAACAGCCTGTGTAATTTCCGTTTAATTTTCAAATTACGGAATGTACATACTTTTGGAAGCTGATATCGGTAGGGTGAGTGACGTTTTTGCTAAGAATTGTGTGAGTGAGGTGATGCCTCGAATATTAGTAATTTTACAGTACTCGACAAGCTGGCGGTACATTAGAAATGTTGCTGATTAAGACAGATGTAAAAACCGACAGCGAACTTTAACCAGCTATGTGACAGAACTGATACAGAATGAAAACCGTGGTATGTTAATCTTTCATATCGCAGCGAAACGTTGGGGAAGTTGTCATTGTCCTTATGCGAATGAACCGATCAACCGAACGTGAAATCATTCAATGAAGTAGGACGGTTATTAAATCTATAAAGAAGTACCTCTCGAATGGGATACTCGTTTCGAGAATCGGCGATCCCTTCAAAAGCGAAAGGGTCGATCGAGGTCAACTTGTTGTTGTTTGAACATCGCAAAGAGTGCAGCTTCCGCAGTGGCGCAAAAGTCTCTCGGCGTATCACGGTCAGTTCGGGCATGGCACTGATGTTCAGGGCAGTGAGTTCACTCATCCCGACGAAGCTCTGTTGGTTGAGCTCCCGGATGGGGTTCCCGTTGAGATTGAGGTCTCGAAGGTTTCTTGCGGAACCGATGGCTTTGGTCGGCACGGTCTCAAACTCATTGTTCGCGAGGTTCATCCAGGTCAATTGGATCAGGGAGTTGAAGACGCCCTGAGGCAGGTCCGTGAGCCCGGTTTCAGCGAGGCTCAGGGACTCGAGGGCCGTGATGGACGAAATGGCCGCGGTAGTTTGAGCGTCTATTTCCTGCAAATCGTTGTCGTTCAGGATCAACTCCTGCAAGCCCTCCAAATGATCGAACAAGTCCTTATCCAAGGAATGCAACTTGTTTCCTGAAGAAATAAAGAATACAGATTTTTTCAGGAAAAAGAAAAACCGCACTCAAGACTCATAGCCATAGTCGGCGCACATGGCTGGCACCTATCTGAAAATCGTAACAGAATTTGATCTCATTTCTGTCATTCACCGTAATGTGCCCCATTCGAAAAAAAAGCTCTTAATGCTGTATAACGGAAATATTAATTGAACAACAATACTGCCCGCCCAGTTTTTCCAATTTTTACTCTGAACGAATGCAGGATGCAATTTTGGTTCTCCATGCAAACTTTAGCAGTTGGGTGGTCCGAAAGGTGTAATTATTAAAAAATGATTTCCTCTTGGCGCAAATTTCTACACCTTGGGATATGGAACAAGTATCATGTGATGTAAAAAGATATGAAGGATAGTTTGGGAAAGGTTTTAGCTTTTCATTCAATTCATCATTCTTTGATAAATTATCTGTATTGCACCCTTAATTAAGTAAAATATTATCAGCAGATTATGTTCATTTTATCAAGCGCATCATCAATAAAGGCATAGAAAAGATTCTAAGTACTCAATTTTGTCATGATAATTGTGATATTGTTGATTTAAGTAAATTACTAGCTGATCTTGCTTGTGGAAAACCTAGCCCATTACTATTTGTATCATCTAACATCCCCTTGGTACATGGTACCATAGCTCTTTTGTCAAATTCATGGCATTCTAATAAAAAATCATCAAAATTTCAAATTGGTGTAATTTCTGCAGTATAACTATATTGGTTGATGCATCACAACCAGAGCACCTTCTTTTCATATGCCCAACATTCCACAGCTACAGAAATGAGGTTCAAAAATATTTGGGTCTCTTAAAATTCAATGAAGACTCTTTCCAAAATCTTAAAGGAACAAGATAAACTTTTAACCTCATACAATTTCTCATCAAAGATTCACTCCAAATTGTTCAATCAACTAAATCTTATCTGGAAGCAGGCTGAACACCTTGTTATTTAATTTGGGTTTAGTAATTGCCTTACACTGCAATTCTTATTCCTGATACTTTGTTTTTGTTATCAGGGAAGGGAAAAGGGCATGTATTTACATCATTTGTGAAATTGTACATTTTGGGATGTATTTTCTTTACTTTTGATTTCCATGTGCAGCTCATTTCTCTGTTTTCCATTCTGATGTGATGGAATGTGTTCAGATGAATGTGGGTGGGGGGGCTGGTTTGGATTTGGGAGCAATGCTTGAACCTTAAGAATGCTGAAAAGTGGAAAACAAAGCTTGCTGCTCAATTCAATTTTCAATAAGGTATTTTAAATATCATCATGTATCAACAGTATTAATTTGATGTAAAGGGAATTCCTCGGAAGCTGGTGCAGTAAACTCAGTTTGTAATCAAAGTGAATTGTATCAAGTGAGAAGTTGTGTTTCAATTTTAAGATTGGCTCAACCTTGAGGTTCAACCTTGACTCTAGAATTTCTGGAAAAGGAAAAGCGAATGTCATGGCGGATTTTATCATTTGAAGATTCGGAAGCGTCGGTTTTTACTTTTATATACAGTATTTCGAAAAACGAAAATAAAAAAAATTGGAGATTCACAACCGACCGAAGCATGTACGTCGACGTTCAAGTGCCACTGATGACTCTGGACTTGCAGGATTTTTTTTCTTTGCTATCCACCGTTTAACGTATTTCTCCTCCAGAAATGTCGATTAAATCAACCACTTTTTACCCACAAGACATGCTCCAAGATTCTTCACGGGGAGCTTGTTTTTTCCGGGATGCAATTTACCGTTTCTTTTTCTGCTCTGCTGCTCAGGGGAGATCAAAAATGACGCGTTTCCACGCCAGCTTGCACTCGATTTCTCTCGGCTCCTTTCACCGATGCCATAAAACCAGCGGTGTAGCAGTTATGCGCCGGTGATTCATGATCCGGACATCGACCCCGGGAATTCTTTCCGCCTCGCATTTTTATTTTCCCCGGTCAGTGGTATTAGCCAATTTGATATTTCCATCTCTTCATATAAAGTTGTTTCACTCAAAAATTTCCTGCATACCATCGAGTGCACAGACCTAACCGAGTTTGTGTGCCGAACTCATCAGCCTTGAGCTTTTTCTCAATTTCAATGAGTTTTTGCGGAAAGGAGGATGGTAAATATGAAATCAATAATCAGAATCCTGCAAAAAACGTGTTGTAAATGGACTTTTCGCCAGCGCTCAACAGACTGGGGGCGTTCCACCCAATCTTATAGATTTTTGTATGCAAATTTTGGCCCATTCTGAGAGCGATCTGTTTCAAATCAGTTTATATTATCCAACAAGCAATAAAAAATGTTTCTCCAGCCGGTAGCCAAACTGGAAGTAATCTTCAACTGCCCAAAGGTTAATTAAAAAATTAAAGCACGAGATTGAATGCTTCTTACCGATTGAATCTGACGTCAAGCATTTTTCAAGCACAATACGCATATGCGTAAAGTAAGAATCGGAAAAGGTTTTGTTCAATATCAGAAAAAAACATTATTGGTAAAATCGCCTATGCCTATAGATACAGAATATAAAATTGTCAATAGTATTTATTGGAAAGTGCCTTAACGAGGACATGCAGGCACGGTTCGGGGGTCGTGAAATACAGTACAGCTTATGAATTTAAGAATGTTCGTTCAAATACTCATACAGTGAAGCGTTCGTTGCGTGATTTTTGTCGAAAAATACAAAAGATGAAAAAATTCTGATCTTGAATTTGCTTTGTTCAACTCTTGAATCATTCACGCCGAGGTCTTGGTTGACAGATGTCAGTTGTCATACCAAATGAACCAAGGCGCATGTGGAAACTTACAATTTCTTAGACAGTGCTTGTGCTGAGCTCGCAGCTCATTTGATCCGCATCAGATGCGTGCATCGGTGTGTGCTTATGGGCAAATTGACTAATGCATTTAGCTATTCAAACTTTCTTTAGGTCTCTGTCTTCCGCGTTCCAAGTTCATCTACACAGTGTCTTTTTTTTTTCGCTGGAAACGAAATACGCACAGCACGATGCACGTCATATTTCGTTGAAAGTGTACGTCTTGGTACAGTATTACGGTACTCCGGTGACAGATCTGGAAGTTGCTACTTGCTTACGGTTATAGTAGTGCGGCACACATCCCTTCTTTCGACGTCCGGATTAAATTCTATAGCGATTTCAATTTTCAGAGAAGATTGAATCGAATAATCATAAAAACCTTATTTCGAATCCGAATACAGGCTTGAACCAAGTCGAGCAACGTTTGTTCGCCAAAATTTCTTGGGTTGTCGGGCGAATGTTGAATGCACACGCGATTCGCTTGGAAGTACAGCCCTGTACTGTACACTGTTCCGCCTCGGGCTTTCAAGCATTACTGTGACACAGTTGTTCGGCTTTGCTACCGATCGCCTCGGCTCGTGAGGCTCCACGCGGAAAAGCTTCTTGATATCAACGATTTTCCCCAAGATTTACGACTCATTATCGCTCAAGTGCGTCATCATAAAAACCGGAAATCGGCCCTTTCGAAGTCGAACGCCGCGGGAGGCAGTACCTGCAAAGCTTCCATTCATTCCATTTTTTTTTCCTCCCCACCCTATGAAAGCAGTTAATTTTGCCTTCCACGTCCTTCATCCGCTGTCATTAACCGCAGCAAGGCTGGGCACATTTCTCTCCGTTACTTTTTGTTGGTTCCACATTCTAAAATTTTTAAATGAAAATAGTTTAAAAGGTCTCCTTGAGGCGTTCCTTGGGGTAGGTGATCATTCCGGATATAAGGAACTCATCGCCACCTTCTTTTTTTATTATCCACGCACATTTGTGAGCCGTAGGCTTCGGTTCTCATGTTGCAATACTTGTTTTTCGTTAGTTTCTTAAATATTACTTCGAACGTTGCATGGTTGCCTGTATTTTCAGTTTAATTATCCAACGTGAGTACATTGAGACACTAGCTTCGGAATACTGTAATCTCATGAGGAGGTGGCACACACGGCGTTGAAAATTAATGTGCTAATAAAAAAAAGGGGGTCAACACCCTGGGATACATGACTATAGAGGTTTATGCTTGGAGACACACTCATAAGCAGTGGTCTTCAATCCCGGTCCATGGACTGGACTTTTGGAAGATGGTAGATCTTGGAAATTATTTCCATAAGATAGGCTACTCGATAGTTCTCAACATCATACATTTTCAATTTACTGTATTCCTTATTGCTATATTCAAAATATCACGTGTTATGTTGTAAAAAAAATAGCACAATTCCTCCCAACAATTTTGAAGACATGGAGCAGTATTCAGATGTGACTTATTGTGAGGTTATGCTCCACGAAAGTTGTCTTGATTTTCTGGTGTAACAGACACACAAGTCAAGAAAAGGGCACCCGAACCTAATTTTGCAAGAAATGCTCCTAATGGATGAGGCAGATTGGAATTTTTTCGTTTTTCTTGGACCTACATTTTTTTTCTGAAATCGAAAAAATTCCATTTACTTTAGAAATACAAATTTCTTGAAATTTACAAGGTTTTGGAGACACCTCTTGTGTGTGTGGCTGGAATATTCAGACGAGGTTCGTATTACAATTTTTATTGAAGGGCCACAGGAGGTATTCAGACATTTCTCCTAATTCGCCGAAAAATGTCGTTGAAAGTTGGCCAGTCCGCACACTCAAAAAGATTGGGGAACGCCGTGCTTTAGTTTTGCTATTCCAGTTATGCTGACTTTACTTCACAGAATAATTTTGAAGCGCTTCCGTTTATTGTTGTACGTTCCTGTTGGAATTGCGAATGCCAATATAAGGGCATTAAAATTTTACAGCCATATGTCGATTGCATTCTTTAAAAATGTTATACAGTATCTATACAAAGGCTTGTTTTTGCTTAGGGGTGCATTTTACGTTCCTGTTCGATTCATCATTAATGGACCCTTTTGATACATTTTGATATTCTAAAAATTCTGCAGAATAAATTTATAGCTAGTTGTAACATTTCGAAATGGAATAAATTAGGATTGCTTTCTAATAAAATAAATTTCATGAAGCTTGCGGAGAGAGTTTGATGCGACTTTTAATCTTCATAACGTTGCGTATTATCCTGCATACTTGTTCGTTTTCTCAATGTTTTTCATGGATATTTTTCATCGCCTCTTCTGTCGTCTATATAAAAATGCATTATGAATTTATAATCCTTTGGCATTTTAGATTGCCTGGTATTAAACTTTTTAAGAAGATGATTTCGAAAATATCTCAGCTGAGTAATACAAACGAGTCATGGCAAATTTCAGGGCGTTTTGCACGAAAAGCAAACAGAATATGAATAGCTTCTTGGAAAAACCAAAATTTAAAACAAGATGTTTAGTACCGTATATAATCTATAGGATCAACAAGTGTGTGTGTTCATTCAATAAGCTGTCAGAAGATCAGATTTCTAGCGAAATATTTTTATTTCACAACAATCATCAAAAATTGTTCCAATATTTCAAATGCATTCGACTGGATAATTCAAATTCGATCAATTTCAACCAAATAATAAAGTTTAAAAAAGATTATTGATAAAAGATGACGACTAACACATTTTTATTGCGCCACTTTTCTTTCTTTGAAATATTTATTTCAATATGCCCGTATAAATGGGCAATAAAATATGACTGAAGTGGGTCTACCTCAGCAAAAAAAAAAAAAATCAGTTCTGCCATAAACGTTCAATATTCAAGCAGGAATCGTTCATATTTTATAGAGGCGAATGATTCTGGCAGTTATTTGTGCATAAAATGGGTATTCTAGTTCGGATCATTGAAAATTGAGAAATGAGATCATATGAAAAATGATTAATAAACACGATTCCGATAATTTCTCCTCACTCGAAAAATTTGAGCATACGGTTAAAGACAATGCGGAAAGGTTCGCACGAGTATTGCCCCATACATTGCTAATGCCATTAGCAGAGGACTGCTTCCGGCGATCTAATGCAAGAGATGCCAAATAATTCCGCCGTCAAAAAAATAATCGGAACAGGTTTACCTTTTCGCAGGTTTGGAGAATGATACTCCCGGCAAGAAAAACTCGGCGAGACGGTCTGGATAGACGAGCGATTCCGCAAGAAATAACTGTTTTTCTGCCATTCAGGTGGGATATTTCAATTATGCATTTTCGCTCCGATATTATTTATTTTTTTGCTGTTGTAATCTTCGGAGGATAGCGAATTTCCTTCGAACGTTGATTGAATTGCGAAGTCGATATGTGGAACTCGGATCCGTGGATGACGCAATTCGCGAATGGCTGGATCGAGACGTGGTGTGATTTAAACCCTGGGGTTCTCTCCAGCGAAGAAATCACGTGGGAAAACTATGGTGTACCATTATCCACAAAGCTTCTGGATTGTGTGTGAGCCGAGGCGAAGCATTCTCATTGCAATTACCTGCGTGAGCTCGCAAGTTTAGTCCGTCCAACCAACCCTCTCCCTCTCTCTCTCTCTCTCTCTCTCTCTTTCTCTCTCTCTGGAGTCAATCCGTAAGCACGTATTTCCGGCAACCAAGGACAAATTCCCGCGCGAGAAAAGACAAGTTTTCACGAAATAAGAAAGAATGCGACCGACGTGCGTTTACATCTCCTCGAGTTAACTGTTGGAAGGTGAGACTCCATCCCAACGCATTGAGGCCCCAAATGCTCCCTTCTTGGGTTCCTCTAAGGCTCTAAGACGAGGCCAGTGAAGGAGATTTAAAAGATGAATTCGGGCATATTTTCAAGATACCTGCTACTCGCAGATTAAAAGAGCGCCAAATTTGAGGGCGACTTGGACTTTCGTGCGTAAATTTTTGGAGATCAGAAGTCCAGTACAGAGTATTGAATTGCCATGTTGATTCGTGGAAATCGGCAATGCAGAAACTATTGCAGATCAGAGGCAAGATTAGAAAGAGCCATTGGAGAGCTCATGCTTGAATACTTACTTTCAAGCAAGGATTATCGAGGGACTG